AGTTCGAGACCAACCTGGCCAACATGGTGAAACCCCATCTCTACTAAAAATACAAAAAATTAGCCTGGCGTGGTGGCGGGCGCCTGTAATCCCAGCTACTGGGGAGGCTGAGGCAGACTCGCTTGAACCTGGGAGTCGGAGCTTGCAGTGAGCCAAGATGGCGCCACTGCACTCCAGCCTGGGCAATAGAGCAAGACTCCGTCTCAAAAAAAAAAAAAAAAATAGAAACGAAGTCTTGCTTTCCCGCGTAGGCTCGTCTTGAATGCCTGGCCTCAAGCGATCTTCCTACCTCAGCCTCCCAAAGTGCTGGGATTACAGGTGTGAGCTACCGCACCTGGCCCCTGCCATTTCTTTATTGCAAAAGCCAATGTAATAATCATGTTAAAGATACAATTATATAGAAAACAAATTCACTGGTCATTGGACCACCTAATACAACCAGCTGGCATATTACTACCCAGCCCTTGGGAAGAAGGGCAAACTGACAGGAGCCCAGCACCCCTCACGCCCAGCCTGTGCTGGGTGCCTCCTGCACCGTCTTAGTCTGCACCAGCGGGTGCATCTGTGAAATGGATGTGAGATACCTAGTGGTTCAAAGGCTGTGTCTGAGGCCATGCAGCCAGGAAGCCAGGAGCCTAGAAGCTGGTGGTGACTGTGATATCGCCCCTCCCTCCCTCACTTGCCCCACGTGCTGCAGGAGGCCATCTTTCTTTGTACTCAGTCTTTATAAAGTTAAGTCTAGAATGAGACAAATTTGTATCCTATTTCTTTGTCACACTGCAGCAAAAATGTTTCTGCTTATTGCTACACAGTTGTCACACAAACTACCTGTTACAGACACTCTTGAGGATGAAGATCCCCCATTTCCCACCTGCTGCCTTGTACTGGACACCAAAGCCTTTTCTGGTTTGGAGGGTTCTCATTAAGGCTCCAGTAAACGCCTGTGGGTAGGCATCTCTTCTTTATTTCATTCCTTCATTTGCCAAACATTTATTGAGTTTTCTTTTACAATGGTAAAAGGAGCACAGGCCCTGCCTTGACTGAATACATGGATAATAACCAACATCTGTGTGCCTCAGGAACAAATGAAGATGGTAAGAGGGATGGAGGGGAAGTAATGGTCTCCAGTTGGTCCAGATGACCAAGGAAGGCCTCAGTCACAAGAAGCATCAGAGGAGGGGCAGGAAGGTAGGAGGAGAGAATGGGCAGTGCAAGGGCCTGAGCAAGGGGGCACTTGGTACAATCCAAACATAGCAAGGCAGCCAGGACAGCCCCAGCGCAGTGAGAGATTGAGGGCAGAGGAGCAGCAGACTCTCATGAAGACTTGGGCTTTTACTCAGAGAGGCAGGGAGGCATCACAGGAGGATGAGCCAAGGAGGAACACACTCTGACTTGCATATGTAAATGGGCCCCACTGGCTACTCCTGGGGAAAGAGAGTGGGAGGAAGGCAGGCTTGAAGCCAGGGGACCATGCCCAAGGAGGCTCTTTTGCCCAGTCTGCGGATCCTGGTGGGGTTCAGACTACCCCACCATCCTCAAGCCAGCCCCCCAGGGAGGCCTGCAGGACCAAGGCTGCAGAGCCAATAAGAAGCCAGCTCTATATCTGGCCGGGCGCGGTGGCTCAAGCCTGTAATCCCAGCACTTTGGGAGGCCGAGACGGGTGGATCACGAGGTCAGGAGATCGAGACCATCCTGGCTCAC